AAGCACTTTGCTCGGATGAGCTCATTGAAGGACCACGAGCCCATCGATGAAAAGAAGGCCCAAGAAGTCGTCAACAGCCGCTGGAAGAGGATCATGAATGGAATGGAGCGTGCCGACAACATCGAGCGAACATTGATCTTCATCGGCATCGGCATGGCTGTACAGGTGAGCAACTTCTACAGCTACTACCCAACCGCGTGCTAACCTACTGGATAGGTGGCTCTCACACTCTTTGTCTACTTCGCATCCCGCAAGTTCCACAGCGGCTTTGGTATCATTGACTACACCGTTGTCGGCACCGGCATGGAAGTGCGCATGAAGTGCAGCAAGGGCTGGGAATGGTGGCTATCGATCGTGTGGCAGCTGTTCTGGTCCTGGGTATACGCACCTTGGATTCTCTTCAAGTCTCGCGGCATCCGCGATGTGCACGGTTGGCGTCTGCAGACCATTATCTGCTGCGTTGCTGGGTATGTACTAAGAATTGCTTGTTCGCGTCCGTCATTGACTCCCGCAGGCTTCCCGCATCTCCGCTCTGGCTCATCGGTCTCTACACTCCCGCGTTTGCTCCCATGAACGCCGTCTTCCCTCCACCAGTGTGGTTCTCGGTCTGCTTCTGCATCATGGAGATCACCAGCATCGGCTTCCCTATCATCGACGTACTCAAAGGCAACAAACTCCGCCAAGAGACTCTCGACGCAATCGCAAACTGGGAAGCTCGCCAGAAATCGGCAGGCTTGGACGCAGCTTCCATCGACGTCAAGAGCACCAGTGAATACTCGAACACGACCACACTCAAGTCTGGCGGGGAGGTCAGCATCGGCAACCAGTCATTCCAGTCATTCGACTCGCAGAAGTCCGACATTCTGACCATGACCGCCCTGGAGAACGCGCTCAGGACTAATGCCATGCCACTGCTCCAGTTTGCTGCTTTGAAGGATTTCTCTGGTAAGTCTTTCACACCCAACTATTGTACGAACGTATACTAACTACATCCAACAGGCGAAAACGTCAGCTTCCTCACCCACGTCGCAGACTGGCGCCTCTACTGGTTCTCACCCAAGGCATCCATCGCCGAACACCGCCGCAGGCAGTTCCTCGCTGCCACGCGCATCTACGCTCACTTCATCTCCCTCGAGTTTTCTGAATTTCCTATCAACATTTCATCCAAAGAGATGAAGCTCCTCCACATGGTTTTCGAGAGGACCGCAAACCTCCTATTCGGCCGTCGCCGCAACTCCGAGTCGTCATCTGTGAGCGACGCCACACCCTTCGACAACGTCATGCCCGATGACGCCTCCGATCTACCCATCAACGTCTCCGCCAAAAGCAACCACCTATCTCCCAACGCCATTAGCCTCGACAAGCTCGGACGCGCCAACCTTAGAGCTGTGTCTCGCATGGGCGAGCTGTACGACGACGAGTCTGTCGCCGATGTCGAGGTGCCGGATGCGTTCAATGAGCTAGTGTTTGATGCTGCCGAGAAGGAGATCAAGTACCTTGTTCTCACCAACACTTGGCCGAAGTTTGTCAACGTTTCGCGTGCGAATAGTCAGTTGACTAGGGATGCGGATGAGGAGAAGGGCAATGCTTGGATGCGCAGGTTCCTTTGCGCATAATGCTTGCGTGAAGAGGTTGGGATGGCGATACTTAATAACATAATTTGATACCCCAGTTGCTAGATATAGCATCAATAAAAAATTCAGTACACATAATGATGCCACAACCCGTGATAGTCCTCGAAAATGTATCATATACTCTAGACGGCATAAAAAAATGTCTTCCACCGCCACAACCTCGCGCATCCAACCAACACACCACCCCCAATCATACAAGCACCCGCCACCTTCATCGCGATCCACCCACCCCGCTCACTCCCCTCAATCAGCGCCGCAGCCCCAACAACACCCCCAAAAGCAGCCAACCCCGCTAACACCATACCAACCGCAACCCTCGCCGGCATATCATCCTCCCACCTGCCCCCTACCTTCCTACTAAGAAAACTCGCCGCAACAACCATATGCAGCGAAAACACCGCTCCAAGCGCAACCCCATAAACGGCTGCTAGAGGGAGTACAACATAAAGTTTTGGATAGAGGACGGGTGAGAGACAAACCGCACCCCCCAGCACGGCCGCAGCAACGAATGTATTCACAGCTCCAACCCGCCTCAACGCATGTATATTGGCGACGCCGGAACCGGAGATAGCGGCCACGCTCAGCATGGCAAGGACGCTGTATGTCGCTTTATCTGAAAAAAAGAGGCCAGGGGGTTGGGTGAGGAGGAGGATGCTGTAGAAGGGGTATACGAGGACCCCCGAGAAGACAAGCATGTAGCCTATGAGAAACCACATTCCCCCGCCTTTTAAATCGGCGAGGAAGTGTTTGGGGATAGAGAGATGGAGGGGGTGGGTGCATGGCCATTCTTTCTCTTTTTGGGGAGAGAGGCGGGTGAGGAGGAGGAATGCGGGGAGGAGTGTGGCGGCTGTAATGGCGCCGGTGTAGAGATGGACGCGCGCTGCGTTGCCGGCTTCACTGCTTTCGTAGGCAAATCTAGCCAAGGCGGTATACACGACTGCGCCTGCGAAGCCCGCAAAACCACTTTGTACGGATACAAGCGGGACGTCGTTTCTGTAGTGGCCTGCGAGGACTAGACTGCTGAGTGTAAAACAAGCACCCAGTGCGGTGCCTAGGACGGGTCCTTGGAGTAGTAGAACTACGATGTAACTCTGTGTCGCGTATAATGCGAACTGTGCTGCAATAGCCACAACGATGCTGATGCCGAACAAGACTCTCCAGCCCCAGGGTCGGGAACTGGAGGAGGGTATGCAGCGGCGGTATAGATACCCGACGGGTAAGGGCGAGGCGAAGAGGAAGAGTAGTTGGAGACTAGGTATTAGAGCGAGGGTCGTTAGGGACTGCGAAGGGAATAGCGTTGTGAAATGGTGTTCTAGCGTTGTGCCGTACGACAACGGGATCCCGAGGGTGTTGAAGAGGATGAGGGCTTGGGACCACATGCTGTGGTTTGTTAGTTATGTTCGATGTGTTGATTGAGGGGCTGAACAGAGAGGAGAGAAGTGTGGAATGCAAGGGAGAGAGGGGCGTACGATCTGTTTCGCTGTCTAGGTGCTGGCTCGCGGGGTGGAGATACGGGTGAAGAGATTAGATGCTGCGTAGGGGCTGTTGTTCTGTTCGAAGGATTCCATTTCGAGACTGCAGCCGGGATGCCGAAGTTGCCTTGTTGGACAACGGAGAGACTGGGGGGCTCGAGGGGTTGAGGTTGTCGACGGTTCATGGAGAAGATGTATCTTTGCCGGGGCCCCGGTCAAGTGGTAGAGTTGTTGAACGTGCACAGTGAGTGACGTGGGTAACAGCGTCGAGGCAAGGAGTTGTTCCAGTAATGAAGTTTGACGTGTGTGTATCGATGCGATTGATGTGCAAACGATGGAGCGCAGTACAATTGACTGGCACGTTGTTGGGTCTGTTGGTAGGTCTGTCAAACGCTTCAGCGGTATGTCAATAACCGGCGCGAATGTGTCCTTGAAGTAGGACTCGATGGCGATGATGCACTACAAACAACCACGCTGTCACAAGAGTGCGAGTGTACCTGTTGACAAGCGAAGAAATCTCATATTCAATCTTCCTATACCACATTAGTTTCGATAGAAACCCATTCATTCCATAGAAGACCGCAACGAACACGTCGTGATAACAAGCCCCCAAACGCCAAAAACGATGTCCCTTTTCCAATCCCACACCCTTCCGTCTCCATCTAAAAGATAGAGTTGACAATATTTCCACCAATCGTAGCACCAGCACCAAAAATCGCCGCATTCCCCAACTTCTTACCAAACTTCTTTCCATTCTGCTCCATCTTACTCGGCTCACCCGCCGGCTGTCCTACCTGTCCCTGTTGCTGCGCGCCACTCGCAACATCCAACGGCATGTTACCGTAGTTGCTCGGTGCGGGCGCCCCACTGTAAGCAGAAACAACGCTCTTCTCCTCCTTGCGGACGTAGCTAGCAGGGAAAATACCCTCCATACCCGTGCGCTCGTTGCGTCCCTTCCACCACTCGTTGTTCATGTACTCCGTCACAACAACCTTATCATTAGGCATAAGCGCGAGGTCCCCGGCGTCTTGCGCATTGTACTGGTACATTGCTGAAGCGTGGGCGAGGACGGGGGGACCGGCGGGTGTGGCGGGGACGGAGGGGTAGGCTGGGGGTGGTGCGTTGGTGGGGGTGTCGGCGTAGTAGCCGATGTTTGCTGGGTTCTTCTTCTCGGGGGGAGGCGTGGGCTCGCTCTGGATGTTCATCTGTGAGAGTTGGGCGACGGGCACGGCGGGGAGGGCGCGCGCGCTGTTTTCCGCTGAGACGGGGAGTTGGGATGCGATGGTGTCGTGTTGCGCCGGGGTGAGGACGTTGGACTCGACGAGGAATTCGAGGTTCTGCCCATATTGTTAGGATCATGTGATATTCAGGAGCTGGACATTGCTTACGTTCTTGATGTCGCGGAGAGACCGGTTGATCATCGCGTTTCTGAAGCTGTCCGCCATGATGACTGTGTTTTGGGGTTCTCGGTCGCGTGTAATGCGCAAGTATCCGTGGTATGAAGACGTTCAGGCAGATTGTAAGGAGAAGTCGGTCAGAGAATGCGCGACGGGAGTTGGTGAGACGGAGTGGAGTTGATACGGGCGGGAGCACGCCTAGCACCCACACCACTCGGAACGTCTGCGCCGCATTGGGGCTGTGCGCGTGTTGGCTGCGCAACTGCCCCGACTTTATTTATTAAATGAAACAGCCATTGATCTTATCAGGAACGCGTCTGATGGCATTGTTTCTTTTGCGATCATTTGCTCATAGCAAACGATGGTTTCCTCAACGACACATCTCCTTGCGCCCATACATCAGGGTCCAAAATGTGGCTTAACTATCTAGGCACCACCAATGCGCCCCACTCTATCATCTCTCATCTATCAATAGCCCTCCACCTCTCACTACATACTCACTTCTCCGACAAGAAAATCTGCCTATACATCTCCTGCCTCTTATTCTCAAACGCATCAAAAGCCTTCCCCACAAAACCCACAGGAATCTGTTCCTTCCCCTCCACCAACCCCTTCCACGCTTCCTCCGTAAACTCCGCTAGCGGCATACCAATATTGCCTCCATCCTTGATATCAGGCTGATGCTTCTCGTCATGCAGCTCCGTTTGTACCGCAGGCGGGAAGATCTCAATGACCTTGATGTTGCCCGGTCCGTTGCCTAGCTGGTGTCGCAGGACGAGGATCATGTGGTGCAGTGCGGCTTTGGAAGCGCAGTAGTTTGGACAGCGGGGGAGGGGCATGAGGGCGAGGCCGGAGGTTGTGTAGATGAGCGACGTTTCGTTCTCTTGTTTCTGCAGGAAGGGGATGAATGCTGTGGTGAGGTGCATGTAGCTCAGGTAATTCGTCCTGAACTCCATTTCTAGCACATCCAAATCCACGGTCTCGGGCTTGGAGAAGTCGAAACCGCGCTGGATGCCCGAGTTGAGGAAGATGGAGTCGAGGTCTGGGTGCGCGCTTGTTACATCTTTGACGAACTTGGGGATTTCGTCTAGCTTGGTGATGTCGAATGCGTAGGTCGAGACTTTGTCGCTGCCGTGCGCCTATTGGAACTCGTCGAGCTTTTCTTGTCGTCGGCCGACGATGATGGCGTGTTTGCCGTCTTGAACGATCTTCTCGGCAAGCGCCCAGCCGATGCCGGATGTCGCGCCTAGGACGAGGACTTTGTTGTATTTGAGAGACATAACGTAGTCTTAATACGGCTGTTTCGTTGATGGGTAGGTATGGGAAAGCTTGGCTGGGAAGGCGCGTCTTTAAAGCGAAGCTGTAGTGTTCATGGAAACATCATCAACGCCACCACCAGCCAATCTCTACCCTGGCTCGATAACTATTGTTAACCCCATCATAGCAAGGTCTCGGTGGTATCGGAGTTTAAACGCGATGGATGCTGCTGCGTGGTGTGCGAGAATTCTAGAACGTATACGTCATCGTGAAGATGTGGATCTGGATCGGGGCTCGGCAGTTGCGACGGATGTACCTGAGCAGGCCATGGCGTCCTCTGTAAAACATGCGATGAACGACACAGTGAATGTTAGTTTGATTCTACAAAACTTGCTGGTTTCATGTCTAATTACTAATTATTTTGTATATACAGTCGAATCAGATGTGTGTCATAACGGTCATTCAAGCTTATACGTAGATGTAGCAGAAAGGTCCCTCAGTCGTGCTCATCAGATCCTCCATCCTCTCTGTGCCATCCGCAGCATATCCAAGGTTGATAGTCGTATCGAAAGTCGTGTTGGCCGAGGGAGGCATGTTCAAGAAGGTGCCAGTACCCGAGATACCGCCAGCCTCGCTTGTGCGCGTCTTGCGGTCGAGCTGCTGCCAGATCCACCAAGTCCTGTCAATCTGAGCGTGGTGGAGGTAGAAGAGCGGGTCACCGGGCGAGACGAAGAAGTCACGGCCGGGGTCACCGCCCATGGAGTAGTGACCTCCGCCGTGGACACCCAGGCTGTCTGTACCTGGCACACCTTGCATGACCATCTCGAATTGCCAAATGTCCTTCTTGTTGATGATGAGGTCGGCGATGGCGGTCGCGTTGGCCCACTTCTTGTTGCTGTAGTCGGTCAAGTCGCGTGTCAGACACCTGGGGTTGTAGGAGAGGCCGTCGCCGTTTGCGATCTCGGTTCCGTTGGTTGTGCTCAGAGCGACGGGGCCAAGGTTGACCTCTGGAATGATTGTTAGTGTCTGACTGAACATCTAGGTTTTGTACTGGGTACTTACTCATGTCCTTGAATGGACCGCTTGTTACACAGCCGCCACCGGTGCCGGCGGGGATGTAGATGTATGGCTCGCCTCTGCCTGCGATAACAACTTGTCCCTGGTCGGGAATGAACTTTCCATTGCCGGACATGGAAGAGGCAGATCCGTCGAGCATAGCCGACTTCTCGAGACCGCTAGCAGCAGTCTTGGCCCAGTCCCAGTAGGGCTGAGTGCCCTTGTAGCCGCACTCGTTCTTGAGAGCTTGCTCGTACTGCCAGGTGAAGTACCTGTGCCATGCCAAGAAGGTACCGGTGTAGTGGATCTCCATAGTCTTCAAGATGTGGTTGCCAACAAAGTCATCGAAGCGAGACTTTGCTCCTGGGATAAGTGAAGCAGGCGTGTTGGCCTTCTTCTTTTGGAGGCAGAGTACGGCATCGGTGTAGGCTTTGCGTTCCGGCTTCGTCAGGGCGCTCCATTCTTTGCGTACCGACACATTGTTCCAGGTGCAAGCGGCTCGCTTTGACGAAGTTGCTGCAAGTGCTTCCTCGACTTGTTGCTGAGCGAACAGAGCCAATTGCTCAAGTTGTTCGGACGCGACCGAAGGATCGCTCGAGGGAGCAGTTGGTAGCGAGGAGGGGTCTATCGGCGCATCTTGTGGAGCTGGTAGCGCGTGTGATAGAGTTCCAGCGAGCAGGGCCAGTGCGATGGGGGAGTTGAAACGCATATTGTCTGTTGACCAATGGAACTGATGGATCAGGAAGTGGCTTGTTTAGCAGGAGAAGCTGAGTGCTGATGAGCAAAAGAAAAACGTGCCGCTCCCATACATATACCTCGAAGAGATGACCATACACCGCTACCGATTGAGCTTGCCATGCTCACTGCCGGGGTTGGTGGCAAGTACATGCCGAAGCCACCACGACCTTGCTGGAACAGTGCTGTACACCGCATCTAGTCTTGCTATCTCCGTCTGCTGGCGAAGAATTGGAGCAAGGCAAGGCGATGCCACGTGTGGGGCCAATAGTTTTTCGGTGCCTGGAGCCTGTGCCTACCCATCTCCGACTATACTCATGCCCTGAGCGCAAGGACCCTGAGGCTAGATTGGCGGGCTACCTATGAACCGGGTCGTATCCTCAAGCGAGTCCATACAGAGAGCCATCGTTCGGCGACATGTGCATAGCAAGATCGGAAGTAGCTTGCCGGACAACTCATATGGCGCCGATGTACCCATAGTGTCATGTCAAGGCTGCCCGGTCTTCGGATGGCCATGGGCCTAGCGTCGTTTGGATAAAGACCCAAAGTTGATGCGCGGGAACATGATGGGCGCGCAGCATTCTGAATCATGCCGGCTGCGAGTAATGTATGAGCTCCGCAATCGTTAGTTACCCATACAGCAGGTAGTTCGACAAGTCTACCTCGGTCATATCCGTACATCTGTCTTTTCCTGCCGAGGATGCCCTGATACCAGTCTGTTCCACGTCTGCAGGTCATCACGTCCGAGACCTGCATAATAGCCGCGACCCGCCCACGTGCAGGAGAGGAAATATTCTTCCTGGCGGCAAGCCATGTGGTGTACTCCGTACGAGAAGTCCCTGAAAAGTGTACTGATCCTTCCATGATTCAGGAGCCTGCATCGGGCCTGGTGGCTCGGATATCGTGCGTGTTAGGTGAAGACTGCTAAGCATTCTATGCCGCTGCACATTGGTGGCGCAATCATGCCATGGCGCTAGGCCACGCTAAGGGATGAGATCCGTCTTGCCGACTCCCCGTCCCGCTTCCTCCACTCCATATTCACACCGAGCGCAAGGTCAGTGAGGCCTCCAGTGCCTCCAAGCTACCGGTTAATCTCGATTGCGAATCTAACGTGCAGCCGCACGGGAGGCCCCATTCTGGCGCGGTCATTGGCTTACACGCCACCTTTCGAGTCTCTGGAAGCGTGCCGTCTGTTACGACCTTCCTTACAAGGTGCCTGGAAGCGACAAGCGCAGCAGATATTAGCCGATCTCTCAGCTTCCTTCAGTCCTGCCTCGGTTTTCAGTAGATGTACTGCTATATGGTGTCAGCATGTTCTCCAGCTTACCGGCAGACGACGTGTCCAAGCACAGCCTACGCGGCCCGGGGGATCTGCTCACGTCTACTTTCCCGCAACGGCCCTTCTCTCCATGGCATGATACCACCTATGTCCTCAATCTGATCTGCCGACTCCTCTCTTCTCCTATCAATGCTCGGTTGTACTCCGTATTGACGAAATCACTCTCCACTGGCCCGTGCTCTTGACTAGCACAGTGCAGTGGGTTTAGTTTCGAAGATGTGCAGTAAACGGTATGACATGCAGCTTCTAGCTCTTCATCACTCGCTTTAACGATTTCTAGAGTGAGGTTCATGCGGCACTTTGGATACTCACTCGCTGCCTTACCTTGGCAGCTTCATACCCACGTGGCCGGTAGCTCAGTTACGCATCTTTGTCTGCTTTTTGCGGGTAGGTTCAATAATCTTCACTAACTGGTAGCACGAAGGACATCTCCAATGGCCATTCAACTCATGAACTACTGTCAGAACGTGCCGCTACACTGGGCGTTCAGCCACAGCTCAGTGCCGTCGCCAGTGCCGTCGCAACTCCCGAGGTTCTTTAGGACCGCACTTAGATTACCCTACCAGCGCCGTGCCCGAGACCCTGCACTTGAGACTCTGCGTCTGCAGGGGTAATCTTGGATCAAGGGATACTATTTCCTGCCCCGTCAGTCTGCCACGCAAAGACCCATACTTTCGTCTCGAATCAGCCGTCCACAGCCACCATTCCTTCCAGGTGTAGCGAGGCTAGTCCAGACGGTTTCTCGCCAGCACATGTCGTTATGGCTCGGTACCAGAACCGATGAGCCCGACCTCTTGCGCCGCGTGATGGATCGCAGATGCCCGAAAACAAGGTTTGCGTTAACTGTATTCTCTCCGTCCTTCCGTGTGGCGGTTTAAGGTCTTGCAGACAGGAGCTGCTGGTCTCAAGACGTACGCCATGTGAAACCCCTGACGTCGTCGCGAACTCCCGCTCGCTGGTATTATATTGCATATAGTGCAAGCATCTTGCTGGAACATCGAAAAACTTGCGTGATCTGGAATCCTTCACCTTCAATTGACGTGCTTCCCACAATGCAGCAAAGCGGCGCAGTCATGCCACCGATGCGACCCTACGAAGATCAGGGTCCTACCATCCTCGCGAGCACGCTAACCGTCACCGTCGTGGCCGTGCTCACGACGATTGCGAGGTTCTATGTCCGAGTTAAGATGATCAGGAATGTTGGTTGGGACGTGAGTACTCCGCTGGCAGGGCATGGGTGAACAACACTGACTTTGTGCGATCAGGACTATGTGATGCTGTTGGCTATGACATTGGTATGAAATGACTGTTCTTGGGATTACCGTACACTGCTAACACTCTGCAGTGCATTGCTGGTCAATGCCTTGTTATACCACAGGTTCACATGGGGGCAGGAAAACACATCGACTACATCAAGAAGGAAGACTTCGTAGCCGCTCTGAGGTTGAACCTAATTTCGCAGCCGATCTTCCTGTTCGCCATATGTTTCGTCAAGGTCTCTGTGGGGTTCTTTCTCCTTCGGATTGCGGTCGGACGGTTATACAGGCGCTTGATTATCGGCATCATGGGTGAGTGCATAACTCTCTGATAGCAACATGCAAAGCTAACCAGTCCTAGTATTCATGACGGTTTACACCATCGGCTGCGCCCTTACAGTCGTCACGCAATGCCAACCCCTAAGTCTCATGTGGGATCAAAGCGCCAAAGGCACATGCTGGACCATCCAGACGAGACAAGCCCTCGGCTTCCTGAACATCGTACTGAACATCATCACCGATATTGCCTTCTCAGTGGGCATACCTGCAAGTGATTCCAGATACTGACTACTGCATTGACTGTGCTAACGCATCCATGTAGATTCCTATGCTGTGGGGCGTCCAAATGAACCGCCGT